TGAAGATTTCGCATATAAAATTACATGCTTCTATGTTTTCTATAACTTTGTCAATTAAAAATAAAAGAAATCCGATTATTTTTGAAAAAAAAGTATTTTTCCTTGATGAATGAACGTTGTCAGGCCAGTAATGTAAATAACGTGAAATTATGCCCCAATATTCGTGTAATAAGTGCTTATAAGATGCTAGAGATAGAAAGTAGAAGTAGACGAACCCTTTTATTTTATAAATATCTTCAATCAGAGATAAAAAAACATGCGAATCATGATAAACAACCGCCATTATTTTCGTTACGCACTGTATATCTGACACCCAATAAATAACGTATATAAAAGGTTACACGGGTAATAAATATAAATTTCCAAAATTAATTGTGATTGCACGTGACATAATAATGCATAAATATTTTGATTATTGGAGAGATTATGCATCCATACCAAGTAAATATTCTAAAAGCACGTTAATTGTTGATTCATAATTTCCAATATTATCAATCTTATTGTTATTGGCGTTCTCCGATAATTGTAAATGAAGGAATCAGAAGACTTTCATTAAATGGAAAAAAACTTTGTTTTTATATTTCGTAATGTAAAAAATTTTTTTAATATACTTTAAACAATTTCTAGAATGATTTGATTTCCCAAAGATTAGCATTTATTGGCTTCAAAAATAAACCATTTAAAAAAGATGTATGACAAGGATGAAAAAGAATGAGTAAATCTTAATTGGATTCGGTGTCTTTTAAATTTTATTGGCCGTCGTAAACTAAAAATTAAAATTTGCAAATCGTAACTATACGTAAAAAAATTCATCAAAATGAAGTAATATTACATCAAAAAAATTTCATTGGCGTTAGCAGCAAAATGTTTTGAAGAAAAGATATTGTTTCTTTTTTGCTTGATAGTAAGAATGATATTTCAAATTTGAAGTGATAAAAATAGAAATCATTCCAGTAGTGTAAATAAGAATATTATTATGACTGTATTGATATTAATCACTTATGGGATTCTCCAGACAATAATTTATCTTATAATGAGAGAAGAAAACAGATGTATAGATAGAAATTTATGTATTAGTTTTTTTTTTTACGTTTCTTTGATCCTTTTTTTTCTTATATAAATGAATTCCCAAAATAAATAATTGAGAATTTTTTTTTAAATCGCAAGCCTAACTACGCCACACACAACCAAAACACGTGATGTGAAAAAAATTTTCCTTCAAAGTTATAATTAACCAAGTAGTTTATATTTTAATATTTTAGATAATATACTTTAATCCAATAAAATATCATCAAGAATATCATTTACATTAACAACAAATCAAAGATTTATTTTTTTTTATCATCAGACGAGGTATTTATTTATTTATTTTTATTTTAATTGTTTTTTAAAGCAAAACCAAGATTAATCAGGTAATTTCTTTCATAATGTTAGACTGTAAGTAACAATGATGTTGTGTTGTTTATAAACGACACGCCTAATGCACCACATGGTAAATTTTTAGGAATTTCTCATATCTCATGCATGTGATCAACGGATGGATACAGTCGAATCTCGTTATTATCAGTCAAACGATATGTCACAGGAAGTGTAATTACATATTAATATATAAAATAGAAAATTCGACTCGTGTAACAAAATTTTTTTCATCGAATATTTTTTACAACATATTGATTATTTATTTCCTTTTTTTAATAATAATAAAAGCTCTTTACAACAAAAAAGTTCAACGAACATCATTCTCAAATATAATTCAAAAATAATGTAACACGAAAATTATTATTGTAGTTCCGAGCATAACTCTCAGATTTAAAAAATCAAAAAAAAAAATTGAGACAAATTTTTTTTTTACATGAATTTTCTGTCTCCCTTTTAAAGCTGAAAAATTGAATGGTGGTGATTTTTTAAAAAATCCAGCACATGATATTTCAAAATTTTAACTTTTGAATATAGATGATCTGCACTGTAACAAGACACTTTTCAAGTGTACGTAACACGAACCTTACTATAAAACATGGGCATAAACAAAAGGCCGAATTTTGGAAATTCCAAAATTACAAGGTAATTTATTTAACATCAAGATTGACAGCATCATCGTCAAAATTAGATTGTCATCTTGTTCTTCCGGTTGATGAAAGAACTGATCTAATTTTATTGTTTGGGGCGCATTATAAAGAGTATCCAATTCTCAGTAAAATGACACAGGATTTTCTTTCTATTCAAGATACTAGTGTTGCTAGAGGAGTATATACAAAATCATGCTCTGTATGGAGCAAAATATGGAATCGAAAATCGTACAGACTGGCCCCCACCAATCAACTTTTCAGAATTCACAAATTCCGTACAAAAATTAAAAAATAAAAAATGCACGGAACAAAAAAGGATAGTGTACGCAATTGAATGCTCTACAGAATCTCTACTGACTGTTGTTAGAGCTTATTAATTTAAAATAAATTGAAAACGTTTTGGTTGTTATACCTTATCCATCGTTACCTTATTTAAATAAAAACGTTTTGGCTGTTATCCCTTATCTGTCGTTACTATTACTATCACCTTATTTAAATAAAACCATTTGGGCTGTTATCCCTTATCCATTGTTACCTAAATAAATAAAAATCACAATCGCGCGAGTCTCAATCCAATTGTAATGGAACAAAGAATTAGATCCTGTGATAAAATTCTTATATAAATTGTCCTTTCTTTTGCAATCGATTCCTTCATGTAATAGTGATAAAAAAAAAAAATAAAGCAAAAATATCTATTATTATTCAATTTTGCAAAAAATCACTAATAACTAACAATAAATCGTTGCCAAAACCAAAACTAATAAATATAACAACCACTAAATCGAAATTGTCAACAGTTTATCATTTGCTGCTGCTGAAATATGCCCGCGATTTTCCACATCCACGCTTAGAGATGGGCAGATCAGTACTATACGTATAATACTATACGTATAGTAATAGGTTCTAGTTATAGGTTAGTTGATCAAAAATATCATGTTGGTTATGACGTCACGAAGTGACGGCATAATTAACAGGATACT